TTGGGGTAAACTTACTATCTAGGGATCTCGATTTATTATATCAAGATAATTTGTTTTTCGTCTATAATAATTCCCCAATTGGCATTCATATTAATGGCCAATTGACTAACATTCGAACGTTTTCAAAGGACGTCGTTACGCACTGTGCTCGGTGATTATTTCTAAAGACGAAGGGAATGCCTTTGTTGCGCTGGAAGTACATGATTTTTGAGTTAATAAACAGCACACTAACATCACCATGTTGCATCAGCATAGCTATTAATTACTCAAGGGCGTTGTATACATTTAATATGATTCATAGCTGGAATCAAAGGCAATTAAGATATGAAAGTATTTTTAGTACAATTTAACATAAATTAAATAATAAAAAATATTGAAAGGTAACATCACTTCACATGAACTGACAATTTCAGTTGTGACTAGATTTTTACTAAGGGTCCATCCCATGTGCGCCTATATATGGCAGCCGGTTTGAGTCAATATAGGCCACTCACTAGCTAACTAACAGGGTAATAATGTGCAGCGCCCTCAAGCATGGCGTCGTCAAAGATTAGACTTATTTATTATTATCATATTCGATTGACCGTCTAATGATGAAATTTTGTTCCGGGGAAAGTGACCATGGGTGATGCAGTACACGTGTGTACGAATCGTGGAACTTTTGGAAATGTTCTTGTATTATTTTACAGCCGTTCTGAGAATTATTCGGACAGTCAATTAGCAATATATCTTGGAACTTTGCAAAACACTTGGGTCTTTTCCAATCTAGACTTGATGGCGCCGTTGTATTGGCAGGCCCATAGTTGGGATCATTCCACCATCTTGCTAGATGCGGGTAAAACGCTGTTTTTTACATTACTGGTACATTATGTATCAAAATCAGATTTTATACCGAGGTGGGAGAGTCCGTCAGGGATACACGGACGGAAAACTAACGCTTTGATGGACTTTGTCAACTTCAATAGTGCCTTCCTTGAGCGAATCACTTTTTCAACTGCAGTACTAGTTTGAAATTGAAGAGGGTATGACGACCGTTATTATGTCTAGTTCATTTTTGTAACAGAGACAATTGACTAAAATGAGCGAGGGATTGACATTTTCGACAAATTTAAGCAACACCCAACTTGCGATTTTTAAAATTACTAAAAATGGTAATCACGCGATCGTGCAAACGACTGCAGCGATTGGCTGATCGCATGTTTACTCAGCCACGCCTTAAAGATTTATGATAGAGTTTCTAAGATTTCGTAACAGAAGAAGAACAGTAAGGCGTTACTTCAGCTGACATTTCGATGAATAAATGTGTATTTTTTGGGGTTACGACACTGGCACTTGGAAGAGCCATTTGCAGTCACGCCTGGGCTAGCAAAGTGGTTGCTGATTTCCCCTGTGCACAGGCATGGTTTTAAACTGAAGTGCACTGTTTCATCAGTGTGGCAGAAAGTTATTAAGACACCCGCCGAACTACAATAGCTACTCGTCGGAGAGTGGAAATGTTTCTAAAACTATGGAGATTTTGATTTCATTCATTTATTTCAATACGAAGTCTGAGTGACTAGCGCCTTCTTAGTGTTCATTTTTTTTCTGGAATAAGAGGAACCACTTGTAGAGTTCATTGTGTTGCAGTGAGTTGTGATTAGCGCCACCCAGTGTTCATTTTTGGAATGAGAGAAACCACTTGTGTTGCTGTATACTAGTATTTGTGATTAGCGCCCCTAGTGTTCATTTTATAAATCACATATTCTGTGTTTCTGCGATATTGTTTATTTGTTACATAATACATTTCCCTTCTTGTTCATTGTCAACTGTGGTGATTATTTTAACCAAACGATTCCCGTTTCCCAACAGAAGCAAGGCTAAAAATAACGACTTTCACACCACCGAAGAGGTTTATTATTATACCTGTTCAAGAAACATGTAAGTAAGCCCTCTCCGAAAAGTAGTTAGACTCGATAAGATGTATGTAATTTTATAATTATATTTGAATTTTAGTGGCTATTAAGAATTGTCATAAGTAATGGTAAAATACGTAGAAGAAAGTAATTAAACGGGACCCGAAATCTTTATAATGTGGTAGAGGGAGTTGAAAACCCGTCTTCTTATGATTGATTATACGCATTCCACGAGGAACGCCTCGGATACATAGTGTGTATATGAAACAACTAGACTGAAGGATTATAGGTATACTGAGCACAGCCCCCAGTCAATATGTGGCAATCACGTCTTCCGATGGCAAGATTGTTTTGATTATTGGTATGACTGCAATTATTGTATACGTAATCAACGTTAATTTATTATACGACAAATAATAGTTGCGTGATGTAAGTGCATTAATTGTTATCCTGGTTTTAACAGCTATTTTTACTATATTTAAGTTAAATCCGCGTGTAAACATATAACTTATTGTTTCAAGACAAATCCGTAATTAAAAGAAATTCGGTAAATTATCAAAATAGT